CTGGGATTTGGATGGTTAGATCTCAGATGTTTCTTCTGCCCAATTTTGAGCAAGGATTTTTGGTGTCCTGCAGGTTAGGTGGATATCCTAAATGTTGGATTCTTGGGTAGTGTCAAAAAGATGTAAGCAAAAAGAAAACATTTTGGTTTTGGCTGATCTTTGGGGTAGGCCAGACAAGGTAGGAGTATTAAAGATGTAGAAATGAATATGCACTCTCTAAACAGCTGTGATAAACAGCCCCTTCAATTGTTACTGTCAGAGTGCTTTTATGAGCATTCCCTCACCTAACTGTCAGTACCAGCTCGGTTAGGTATCCATGGAGGCCAGCTCAGGTAATTAGATTGAACGAGCTAGGAAGTACTTGTACGAGCAGCTCCACAGTGACTTGAAAGGATATTAATACTTAACAGAGGGAATCAACAACTGGGAGCAACATTGGTTGTGGGGATTTTTTGGGCAATATACCTGGGTCTGGGGGAAAACAGTTGCTCACAGCCTCTTAAAAACACACACCAGACTAATTTCTAACAGCTAAATAGGAAAGAGACAATCTGATTTGGGAACGTGGTTAAGTCTAAGGAATGAAAGTTTCAGGAAGTTTCATGGTATCAGCATTTGGTTATGTGAACACCTGCCAGCAGAAAATTAAGTATTTAGAGCTGGGAACATGCTTGCAAGGGTAGGTATGTGATAATCAGAAATGAGGAATTATTTATTGGCGTATTACTTCTAAACATAGGTCAGAATTCAAGAAGTGGCACATTGTAAAAAACAAAATAAACAGAGCAATGGTCCTTAGCCTCTTCCTCGTTCATCAGTAATGCTGCAATAGGCACCATTACTCAGTGCTGAAGGCTGAGACGCCTTCAGCCATAAAATACACCAGGCCTTGGAGTAACTGAACCGCAGCATTTCTTTAAAATTAATTAAGCCTGTAGTAAGCAGAAGGATGTCACCTCAAAGTATGACTAGTACTAGAATTTTTTAAATAAAAAATTTAAAAAGCTCATACAGTCTTTTCCCAGCTTCATTATATCTGGTTATTTAAAATACTTATGTTCCTGAGAGACTCTTGTAATGAAAAGATATAAATTAGGTGGGTCAGTGAGAAGGTAACTTGTTTTGGTTTGTTTACTATGTACTATACCCTGTGGTTACTGGCTTTGTTTTTATATTAATCCAAAACCCAAACATCTTTAACTCACTAAAAGGAAAGTCTTCGATAAACTGCCTGCATTATTTTCAGCTGAAAAGAGCCAGTTAATTATAAAAATTAGTATTGCCCAGTGTTCAAATGTGATTAAGTTTCAGTTGTGCTCTTGAATTAAAATGGTGGATATGGTCAGAAGAAAGAGCACTTGACATTTAAAACCTTAACTGTGGAATTCTAAATTCAAGGATCATTTTATGTATGAATTGGAGGGTTTTGTTTATCTTAACCAAATTCTAATTTTTTTTTTTAATTAGGCCTTTTTACATAATGTTACTTCAGGCTGACTTAGTTGATCAGCACAAGTCCTTCTGTGGGTATTCAGTGTACTCAGCAATTTCCAGCAGCTCAAAAGGATTAGGAGTATTTGCAAGCTATAGTTGAAAAAAAACTAAGCAAAACCCTTAACCAAAATGGAAGTATCTGCAGTGTGGCTTGTACTAGGTTTAATGAAGTTAGTTAAAAATCATACCTTCAGTTAAATTGGTATCATTTGCTTTAGTCTTTACTTAAATATACGTACTTTATTAGATTAGATGGATTGTTGCCGTTAATTCCAGTGTTGAAATGAGAAGACCAGCACACCTTAATTTTAAAAACCAAAATCCACATACATTAGGTCAGATTTCCACATAATAGAAAAATGCTGTCTCCCACTCCTATTTTTTCATCTAGTTTGTGGTGCTGACTTTCTAAGTCAAATTCAGATTTTTCAAGCACCATAAAATAAATCCAGAAATAAAGCTGTTTACTGCAATATATATGAAAGCATTTACACATAACACTATATTGCTTGCAGCCAAGTGCCTTCTGAATGTGTAACGAAGAAATAGTGTTCCAAGACAGAAACATGTCACGCATGAAGATTTAAATGTTAACTTTGTCTCATAAGAGATACCATCGAGTACCAGTTGCTACTTGTTTCATGGGAATGAATGTCATGGGTATTGCGCAAGACAAGAGAGGATGATGGTAACTGAACAGAAAATGGGAAAACCAGTCTTGCTAATTACAATTTTATTCTGGAAAGTATCTGCTGCTGGCCTTCAGAGGGAAGGCCTGCACGTTGAAGCAACTGAGCACAACTACTTCCATCAGCTTCGTGGGAGCTGTGTGGTTGCTTAATACCCTCAATCTTCTTGTCACTCGTAATTGCTCAAAGCTCCACTCAGATGCAACAGCTGCATTTTGTGAGATCCTGCATTTACTTGTTTTGTTTTGGGTTTTTTTGTGTTGTTTTTTTTTTTTTTTAATATGTCAGCTAAGATCAACAAGAATGATTGAAAGGTTTGCCTGAGATCATACATGACTGACTATGGCTGGATAAGGCCCAAAATTTTCCTAAGTTCCCAGACTTTAGTGTAACCACAAGACTGCAGTGCTTTAGTTGAACTTCATCCTCAGCTGGAACTTGGCACAAAGAATCCCAAGGAAGGAATTTCCTTTTGAAGTCTCTTCTAAATGTTATAACTTGTTTTGTCCTTTGTATTCAACTAGTTCAGGAAAAATAACTTCTAAAGTCTTGGTTCAACTGTCTAAATAAATGTTATGTGCTCCTAGATTTTTTTTTTTTTTTTAAGTTGATAGCTTGAAGATTGCCAGAAAGCAAGTAGTTACGCAGTCTGCTGCTTTGAAGGACATGGACGTCAATGGAAGGAGGATATAATTGAAGATCTTCCTCCTGTAAAGCAGAAAAAGCACACTGACTGCTAATAAAATACATTCCATTTCTGGGCAGGAAGCCTTTTTTTGCCAGGTTCTTACAGTTCAAAGTGCTCCTCTTTAGCAATTGTTTAGTGTTTTGCTGGTTTTTCTTTTTTACAGAGATCTTGAGTGGGAAGTGTGAAGAAAGTGTGAAGTTAAATGTGCCCCTAATTTATTGGGGCGGGTGGAATAATAACTTAAATGTTCCCCTCTTAAAGAGTTCTTTAGGATCCCGCATACATCAGATATCTTTGATCTCCCCTCTCCAATGAAAGCTGACTGACATGACAGGTTTTGAAAAAATGGGTTTTTAAGAATAAAGGCAATTACCTGTTCAAATTAAATGTCATTCATGAAGCTGACAATTCCATAGTAATATGTGTGGAATATCTTGTAACCTTCTCCTCATCTTATTTCAAAAGTGAGCCGCTTCAGTCAAGTGCATTGACTCTCTCGGCAAGAATTATTATTTTGCATTTGTAAAGCTTTTCTTCATATAGAGGTAGCGTTGCAGATTTGGTTGAAGTGAGGTGGTGTAAATCCCTCAGTCTGCTGTTGCCTGTGAGCCATGAGCACAGGACAGCCTTAACAGTCTTGCTCAGAGGGTGAATAACATGGTAGGCATATAAGAATTCTTTTAATTTGTGCATTTGCAACTCACTTGTGTAAGCCAGATAGCTCTACGTGCTCAGTCAAGAGGTATACCTAAATAATGGTGCCGCCCTAACTGTACTGCAAATGCAGAAGTTCCAACTATCTGTGAAAAGTTTCTAAATTTTTAATGCAAACATGCCAGTGTGCTTGTATGTTACTTGCAGTTTTACCTGTCCTGTACATAGCTAGTTGTGTGCCAACTCTTGTACAACAGCCGGCAGCTTTTTAGCTGGAGCCTCAGTTTATCTCACTAGCTCAGGCTTGGTGCTTTTGGATCTTGTTGGATTGAGTGCGGGTTTGTCTGTAAAAGATGATGTGGACATACTGCACACTGTACTAGAGCAGTCAAGGGATACAGTTTGCTGCCATTGCTCAAGCAAGTGACAGTATGACAAGCTGCCTGATCTCGTAACTAAGCAACAGAGCCAACGTCTTTGAGCTGACAGCTAATACACGGGTACTTAGAAATAGGTCAACTATTTACATACAGTATAAAAACTAAAAAGAAGTAACACTATTTTAAACTGGATTTACCTAATTAAAAAGTTAACTTCGAGACTAGCTAAAATACTGAATGTTAGGACACCATCGGAAGGGTATATCTACAGTGTATTTTGCTCTGTTATTCAAAGTTTTTTTTTTTAAAAAGGTCTTTATGATTGGATGTGATGTTAACTATAGAACGTGGATTAATGGTTCAGATGGGATTCATGTTGTGTAATTTTAGCCCCAAATTATTTTAAAAAGTGGTTTGATACTACTATTTTTCTAAGGCGTATCAAGGCGAGTACAACAGAAGTTCATTTTAAGAAAGTCTATCGTAATCCAAGATGACTGGAATGCAAAACATGAAATGATGTATTGTTGAAATTTTATTTTTTTTTTTCCTAAGAACCTCAACCTGTGACTTTAGAAGTTACGTGACCTGCCCACCTTGAATTTGAATATACTGCCTTGAAAACATGCTGGCTGAGCTCCTTAACATAAAGGCCTTTTTTAAAAAAAAAATAAAACAACACATGCTATAAAATCAAAGGGGTTATAAAGTTAGAACAGTAAAGGAGAAGCAATACTGGATACACTATAATCTAGAAATACAATTTTTAAACTTTTTTTCCTTGAAAAAAGCTGGTGCAGAGAATACTGCTGTTTTTATCCTGACGGTTTAATAATGGCTAAGAATAATCACTTATTTGTAATAAATTAGGTCTGCAGTATAAATGAATGTACGAACCTTTCAAAACAGACATACTATTGTTAACTTTTAGAGTATCTAAAATGGATTTAAACTATTTCAAGATTCATTTAATCACTTGCAATTTATATTACTTTAAGAATCTTCTATACAGCAAGTTGAACAGAAAAAAGCAAACATTCTAACAGCCCCTTTGCCCTAGAACAATTTTCATATAAGATAGTTTTAAATAGCTATTTTAGCGCATTTGCGCATGCTCTCTCTTCCCCCTTTTTCTAAAGGTAGCACAGCCAAAAGACAATGCACGAATTGGTGTTTGTTGACTGACTCTGTTTTCTTCTCCATCTGGTAAAGATATGGGGAAGACAGAGACTTGAGACACAATGTCCCAAAACGGAAAACATGAACTCAATGTTTACTTCGCCAAATCTCCAGGGACTTTGTTCTTTTCCTTGGTTATAGTTGATAAAAAACAAATTTCTCTGTGTCTGTGTGTCACTCCGTGTTCAGTTACAAAAAGTTTTCAATTTCAGCTGTGGATGAATTTGTTTGAAGCTTCCATTTTGCTTCACTGAACACAGTGCAAACCAAGGCAAGAAACTTTTAAGTAAAATCCAAGCAGGAGCTCCCATTAAGAATATTTATGAGCAGCATTTTGTATATTCTGTGTTCTACTGTCCTTATTCTGGGGAGGAAGAATCCTCATCTTCATCCTCTTCATCTTCATCATTGAATGAGCATGGAGTTTCTCCCCGTGATTCAGAGTGGCGTGATGTTGCACTGCTGGACTGTTGACTGCTAGGGGCAAGAAACTGCCCAGTTGCTAAGGCCACTTCAGCATCCAAACACAACCCTGGATTCTCACTATCAAAACAACAGAAATGTCGAAGTTTAGAGCATTTCTCGTGAAGTTCTAAGCTTTCTTTTTGGCCTCTGCTTTTCCTTACTTAAAGAAATGCTACTAACAAGGAAAAATCTAAAAGCTTTACATTTAACACACCTAATAGTTATGAAAACTGCTAAAATACTGCACAGTCACATAAAAAAGATTACCGGATGGCTTTTTTTTCCATAACCAACTAGCAGAATTGCTCAAGCCAAAGAAAGCTTAGAAAAGACTAAATCTATCACAATTTTGTCAATACACAGAAATGCTTCCAATATGGAATTAAGCTATTAAATGCTATGAAGAACCTGTCCCAGAATAATCCCTCTTTCCATTTTCTAAGTTACAGGTAACCTCCAAGCAAAGTATGGTTGTTGAGGTATTTTTTGGATTGGGTTTTTTGTTGTTGTTGTTTTTTAATTTAAAATTATAATTAGACTGTGTGGACTAAACCTCTTTCAAGAGAGTTTAAGCAGTAGTGCATTTAGACACCAAACATTCTCTTGTATTCTTCAGAAGTATTATCAGGCTTTTTTTCCACGTGTAATTACATATTTCTAGTCCATGCCCAGACAGGAATTTAAGGTTAATCAGGAAAACTCTATCCTTATTATTAGGGCTTGGAAGTGTTTGTATTCTTTTGAAACATGGATACAAAATAACTAGTATGCTCAAAATTCAAAGCATGTTGAATTGACCTTTCAAATACAATTACCAAGACGACAGAATAGGAGCCTTTCCACAATCAAAAATCAACCATAATAGAAAAGATCTTATTTCCTGCCTGTAAATGGTATGAAATAGTGAGGTTACTGATAGTACTACAAGCATGTATTGCTATCCTTGAATAAAAAATTATTTTATTTACCTTGATTTAGCATCAGAAGTACCTCCTGCTACCTCTAAATGTGAAACTGCTTGTGCTGAACTTGAAAGTAACCCTTGGTTTATCCATGAAAATCCTGCAGACATATCTAGAAGAAAGGATAATTGTATTTATGATAGTTACTTAAATTTTTTCTTCCTTTTACAATCTTAAACTTTGCATTCTCTTTGCAGTTGGGATTCCTTAGTTTAGAAGTGAAGGTACCAGTAGCTTGAGTTGATTTTATACTGTAAATGTGTCCTGTTTACTCAAGATTAAATTTTATATATTTTTATTTATGTATATACACCCCCCCCCCCCAGTGTTTGTGGATGCACACAAGCCTTGCACTCCCTCACTCAGAACTGTGGTTATTTCTATGAAGCTTTTCCCTCTGAAGAGAATTCACACTGCAGATGACCCTGCCTAGTAGGCCTATGCAATCAATCACAGGTACCTGAAATAGAGTTTTGGAGTCCTTCGTGGAAATCTCCTGCTACAGACTGATCCTATCAAATGCCCCAACAGCTCTAAGTGCCTTTGCTGTTGTGCTTGGTGAAGGTACGAATGGAACTGTACTTGTCAGGACTGGAGATACTGCAGTGAAGCCACCAAGGCAGTATGCATTTCAGTTGTGTGTGTTCTGATAGCCAAAGGCAGTTTCGTTTTGGTGGTCTCACAGCTGGCTGTAACACAGCCCCCTAACCCATTCTGACAATGAATAGAGGCAGCAATCAGCTGCGGACATGAGCAGACCACAGCAAAAGGTCTTGTGCCAAGAGTATGAGAAAGCGCCTGTCGTACACTGCATGTGTGATGTGTATGTCTCCCTAGGGACAGGAAATTTGAGGATTAAAATGGTCTTGCAATAATGCTGAATTCCTTAAGGTAATTTCTTAAAAGCCCTCTGAGGGACCCTCATAGTACTTGTTTTCAGATCCCCTAACAAGTAATGCCTGTCAGTTGTTTCCAGTTATGCACATTTCTGCCAAGAGAATCAACAAAACAAGTCCATTGACCCAATTACACTTAAGGGATAATTTTGGGGGGGGGGGTGTAGGGTGTGTTTTTAATTTGTTTCTTAGATAAGGTGTTTCTATTGACCTACCCACATTCCATCTCAACACAAAGTTAAAATAAAGTTATCATCAGGACTGTCTAGTTCTTTTTCGTGGTGCTTGTGTGTGGTTCGAGCTGGAGGCATTAAACCAGGAGTTGGCAGACCTTACTATTATTTTCTATGCCTAATGAAACCTCTGTTCTGTACAGCATGATAGCAGTAAAATGGGATTGCACTATTCATATTTTATCTAGAAGCAGATAAGAGGAATAACTAAATGTGTTTGTTACATACACTTTCTCATTTGTCCTTCTGTGTTCTTGTTAAGCTTTGGCTCCTTGAGATTTGACAGTGTACTGCCTAGCACGGGGACTGTTTTAAGCAGGTTGTCACAGCCACATAAATTGGTTCATCATCCATTGGGAGCCACAGACTGCCTTGTTTTGTGCTGTGGAGACTTGTTAGCAGCAAGGTATTTAAATGACATGTTACAAAGCAGGGCTAGCAAGGTTGATGTTCCTGCCAGCAGAGTCTTTGGAACATGACAGAAGACAACAAGTTGCAGCTTTAGGGCAATCTGTGAGGATGGAATAGATCTGAAGAGTGGAATATGGACATAGCTCGATGGCTTTAATTAAGATTACCCTAAATGCAGGTTCGTTTTTACAGAGAACATGTTCTGACAGTCTCCCCCTGTCTTTGCAGGAGGAGACTGAACCATTTGGAATGACTGCATTGTATTTAGATTAATGAAGTGGATTAGAGATGGATCACAGTGTTGTTTTCTGGTCTTTTGAAGGGGTGTACCTGTGTGTACATGCTTAATATTCCAGAGGAATAACAAGTCACTACTAGTAATCTTCATTTTATTAACATTTTGGGATAATAGCTAGTTAGCTTTTCTTTTTGAAGAGCAAGGTGAAGGTAAATACGGATTCTACACAGAGGGCTGAAAGAAGGTTCATAGATGCACATCCCTGCCTTGTACTTTCATTGCCTTGTATTTCTAAATTCTATTTTCCAGTGGGCTCTGAGAAGCCAGGGAAAAGAGGAAGTGTGTGAAAGAAGGGGCATTTAAGAAGCCATTTCCTGTCTGGAAAAGACTGTCAAAAAATCTAAGTCTGCCTACAATGAGAAGACTTACTATTTCTAGCAGAGTTGATAAATTACTAACAGCTACATTTAGGAACCAGGGAAAGCAGCTTGGAAAAAACTTCCCAATGTGGTACAGTTCAATATAAGAGTGTCATCCTGATTATGAACTAGGCATATCTTGCAGGAGATATACTTGGTAGAAATTTGTACTTTACATGAGAAGTCTCTAAAGGAATACCCTCGATAGCCTTTAGCAGTTAATGCAAAAGTAAAAGTGTTGCATAGGATTATTGTTGACAGTTGAACAAGCTCATTCATTCAGTAGCTACTCTTATCTCTTCAGTTCCAACTCCAGCCCATTTTGCAGCCAAGGCTTATTACACAGGTAGATTGCAGAGCACTTCTTCATGCAGGGAAGAATAAAAGTGTTGTAATCTAGAGATCCTAAACTGCACCACCTTCCCTGCCCACTGCTTTAGTGGGATGTTGTTACCACAACCATTAGTGTCTCAGAATTTTTGTTTCCTGCTTTTTTTATTTGTAGTCTCATTTTTAGCAGCGAGGACTCAACTGACAAAGGCAGGACTTGGTTTTGTGTTAACTGCCTGTAGTATATGCATGGCTTAAAAGGCACAGGATGTTACTCTGGATATGGTTCTACAAGAGCTGATGCTCGTCTCCATCAGTGGCATGTTTCTGTTCACCTAGCAATCTCACTCCCTCCTTTACACTTGAACTGTTCTGGTTTGAGCCTGTAGCTAGATATTTCTACATGCTAAATTGTCAGAAACTCCTCCGCCAGATAAAAAGCCTCTGGTTTAGTACCCTGAACAAGCTCATGAAGAGGGCAGAGGAAAATTAACTGTGTCAAAATGAAGAAATGGGCAGCAGTGTGTATTTAGGATTGTGACCCTGGGATGCCATCTTAAGCTGGTGCAAGTGTCATGTTTGTTAGAAAAAAACATTGCCCCTTCCATAGGTATGAAGCTGGCAAATACTGTGGTTGTAGTGCAGTCTGTTGTATGTCCATCACTTTTTCTAGATTTCTGACTTAGCTAAAGCAATACTTTAATGTTAACTTTTACTGTAAGTTATGGTTAAGCTGCTGTATCTTCTACTCTTACTCCCTCTTTGGAAACAAGAAAAAGTAAGGTCAAATCATGTCAGTTTTAGAAGTCTGCATCAATTACGACAATCAAGCAACAGAAAAATGTGTTACAAACATCATTTAAGATATACATAATACTTTATGGTGTTAATATGCCCTAGGTTCTGCTGATTTCAGTGCTAGTCACGACACCTGAGGATCGTACCAATGTAGTATTTGAAATACGTATTAAAAATACTCAACACTTTTTGCTAAAACATCATAAACCCTATAGAAAACCTACAAGACACTACTTTTATCAAATTAGGGCACTCAAAGAATGGCTAAAACACATGATCCTCCTGCAAAAAAAAAAATACACTAATAAGGTTTTGATGCATACATCAGTTCAGCAGTTCCAAGCAAATTATTTGGCATGTTTAATGCAACTATAAGTTACTTTTTCTTCTTTTTTTTTTTTTAAAGCTGGGATGGTCCAAGTTTTCTTTGTTAATTTTGAATTTCTTTCATTGAACTGGTTAAGACTTGGATTCTTCCAACTGTTTCTCCAGCCCTATTAGCAAGCATTACAATACAAACTATTGTTAGTGCATGTAAGTTAGAAATTATCTGAAAAAAAGATGACCAGGCTAAGGTCAAACTAACATCGTATGGGAAATGACTTACCTACTTAGACATATTAGAACAGGACTGGTTTCTACAGCAGTTGAGTTCATGGAGTCAACTAGTGTGGGAGAGCTTTTTAATCTTGGTTGTAATAAACTTACTTGGTGAATAAATGAGACCTTGATTTGCTTTTCTTGTATAGTAGTGACTGAAGCCAATGTACTTAAAGGTGTGATCGTGAGAGCTATGGAAGTAATGATGAATTCTAAAAACCAGTGATAAGCCTTCCACTTCACTACACTGGCAGTGTAATAAACAATATCTAAAGACTGCCAAGGTTAAAGGAAGTTGTACTTAACCAAAAATATGTAATCGGGCAAATGATGGCTTTTCAAGTATTGTGCAAAACATGTAAATCTGTTCCCCTTATTTGTCAGTTACTGCCATTAGAAAGCTCTACTATGCAATTCATACTCTTAACTGTAGATTTGTGTTGTGTAATTAAGTAGCAAGAACAGACAGAAGAAACCTTTAAACTAAATGTACATACCATAGTAACAACACTTCTGGACTAATTTTTTCCAGAGGCTGAAACAGCTGAATGTAACCCATGTCTGAAGAGTACATTACCTGCTTCAATGCATTCTGAGTAAAAAATAAAATCAATACATTTCTTATGATTAAAAATCTGGATAGGTTTCTGGCTCCTGGTCTGCTACTAGGGAAATAACCCTAATCACAACATTCTTTAAGAATATGCAATCTTAGAATCTGTTTTTTTCTGTTTGGTTTCTTTGAAACAGAGTACTATTTGTTTCTCACTTGCACAGGAACATCACAGTTGTTTTGCCTTTAATGCTTTCAATAAAAAACCCCACCAGCAGTACATTGGTGTGACTGATCTTTTTTCAAAAGAAACTAAAATGGACTACTAATCACTAGTTAAGACATGTAGTTTCATTGCTTAATCTTTAAAAGCTGGTTTTACTCAGTAAATAGTGTAATGACACAGGGTTTTTTGTAAATGTAAAGAAACCCTATTCTCTGAAAATAAATTAGTGCAGGTTTAAAATGAAATAGAAATTTTAGTTTGCTCTTCAATACATGGGAGCAATTAAGTAACTTGAAGACTGCAACACTATTAAAAGATGTGGGTTCTGCTCCTTTCCTGTCTTTTACATTGGTGGTAAATCATGTGGTAAATAATAGTTGAATGAACCTGCAAGGAACAAACCCAGATGACTTTCAACATCTCTTTTTGGCACCAGTGCAGCCTTATGAAGACTTGGTGTGTAATTTCAAAATTGACCAAAATTAAAATATGAAATCTTAGTTTGAAATGTTAAAGCCATTTAAAATGTACTAATTTTAGTGAATGTAACTGAATTCTAATTTATATCCAGCAGAGTTTTACCATGACAAATTTTAAGAAACTGTTTCATTCTTAATTCTCTCACATAGCAAAATCAAGAATACAAAAACACATGTTCAGCTTCCTGGCTACTTAACTCTATTTTTCTCATCAAAACAAAATAGCATTTTTAATATAAAGTGTGCATTTAAAAGATCCTGACATAAAGATTAAATGTTCCAAACAGAAGGGAATCAACTTTAGGAAAGTGTAAAAAAAAAAAAAAAAAAAAAAAAATTTAAGTAAAATGTTTGAAGTTTCCAACTTCCCTGTGTGAAAGACACAGTTTTATACTACTGTAATTTAAACAAGTCCAAAGCCTAGTTAGCAGAGAAGTCAGGGCAATAGCTTTGTTCCCCCTTTCCTCAAAAATGAAGGTCTGTATACAGTAGTTCATTGGGTAACATTTCCTTTATAGATGAAATCCCTCCAGAAACCTGAGAAAATATTGGGCTGAGTTTTAAGCTTTGTGAATCAAAAATTTTTGAATTCTTAAATCAGTGTGAATTAAGTTTACAGGACAACTATGATAAACCTTCCAAAATTAACTGTAAAGCAACTTACGTACCAACCGTACTAGCTCCCATATAACTTCAAACATTACATACCTATGTAAGTGAATATTAAATTTGCTTCAGTTAACTGATGTTATGGATTTGATCAGGAACAATATTTAAAAGTCTCATCTAACTTACCTGTGATGTAGCCTTCTAAAGCTTTTGGCACCAGGGATTTTGCAGTTCTTAGGTCCTCAGCTGAGCATTTGCCTGCCTCAAGCCCAAAGGACATTCCCATTCTCTTCAGCACCTCACTGTCATCATGAATCTCAAAAGTGTTATCGAAATTAAAGAGGTATTCAAATCTGCGTGTAAAAAGTCAAAGTGAGAAGGTTTTGAAAAGAGTACAGCTATGCTTTTTTTGCCTATTTTTCCTTTTTTCTGGTATGCACTGAGGTAAGTGTCTAGATTCTTCATTATCTGTAAGGGTCCTTAAGGAAAAAAGAGTGCAGCAAATGCTTTTTCACCTCTGTGACTGGCATGCCTACAGGGTTTAAAATAGCACTTTCTCAGTTAAAGTAACTTCACCACTGCAGGAAAAAAGTCTAAAATTTTCTACCTCATTAGACAGATTCAAAGGCGAACAAGGGGAGGCCTTGCTAAACATGAACCTTCACTTGTACCAAATCCAATACTTTTAAAGGTCACCTGCAGCCCTGTCACCAGAATAACTATTTTGGTTTTGCTTCTTTTACATTTCACTTTCTGTTCTAATGTGCAACACTCCTCCTGTGAAGTGACCTATTTTACCTCGGTATAACTTTGCTTTTTTGGGACGGATTTGGATGAAGCTAGCAAAGCAGTCTGTTCAGAGTCCTCTGTGTTCACAACCTACTATTTCTGCTGCAGGACTCTCAAAATGTTTTTCATGCATATAAAAGTGGAAATAGTCATATAAACTTAATATAGCTTTAAGAAAAGCAGGGGCATCTAGACTGGCCTTATGCTATGATCACAGGCTATTAAAAGCCTGGACAGCACTGGTCCAGGGATTACAATATAAGGCTAGTTCCCAGTACCTCATTTTCTGCTGACAAAATCTTTATCCCTGGAAAAGCAGCCCATCCATGAGATACGATCTTTAAAAGATAACACACTGCTGCGTCTTCCCTTAGCTCTCCAAGCTCGAGTCACATACAGATTTTCTTGATAGGTTTTTTTTATACTCATTTACTTATACCTGATCCAGTAAGTTTGGAAAAGTTACATCTTTTGTGCCTATACACAAAATTTTCATCTAGAAATCAACATGCTTTGTACTAGATGTAATTGTCAGTTAAAGGTATCCTTTCTTTTGTGACTCGTGTTACTTGTAAAACCTATTTTTTATGCATCTCTATTTATTTAAGCGTAACCACATTAAAAGGGAAAATAAGATGTGTCACTATACCTTTAAATGGTACAATTACATTCCTGCTACCTAGACTGGTGCAGCTAAAGTCACATAACTATGTTTACACAAATAGGGGATGGGAGACCAGTGTCATACCAAGTTACTACCAGCAAGCTGTGTACTTAACTAAATAATAACTGAATTCAGCTTTTATGGTACAGGATTAAAGGCTGTATTTATTGATAGCTCTGTATTTCTCCTCCCATATGTTGTGGTCAAATACTGGATGCTAGAAAGGAGCATAACTCCTTTTTCCTCCCCTGCAAGTTTCCAGACAAAGAAACTTACAGGAGCATTTCTCCAGCATAGTTTCTAGCAACCTGCAGCCTCTGACACAGGAAGTCCCTACACTTCTACCTTTGCCATTAATAGCTATCTATCTGAGGGTTTTTATTTCAGGGACTTGACATGACCCGTTTTTCAACTTATATAAACTTTTGGCATGAACAACATCAAATGCTATGGTTTGCATAGACTAACTGTTACAAAAACACTTACATCCTTTTTGTCTAAAACCTGTCACCTGGTATCTTCTCTTAATGTCTCTTAACTTTAATAAGCAGCTGCATTTCCTATTAGAATAGAGGTGTTCTAATTTTCCAAGTTTCTGATACATCTATTGTGTCTGAATGCTTGTTTAAGTATTCTGGTTCCTTTTTTTTCTTTTTTCCTAAGACCTACAGCATTTATATAGAAGCACCATTTACACGAGATACATTTTCCTGTTCAGGTGCCTGATCTTTTCAATGTAATATTTAACTTTTTCCTTTTTATCTGAAGACTCTGTTTTTCTTTACTCCAACTTCAGAAATGTCACTCCCACTATGCTGCTGGGCACCCGTCTGCCTTCTCACACTCTTAACAAAACTTGCCCAATGACCTCTTTGTTTTATATGTGAGAAATTTCATTCTGTTTTGGCTAGATAAAGCCTGTTCTTGCATAGGAAAAAACTTAGAAGACACAAACCTCATGATGCTAAATCCCCCCTATATGTACCATCTTTCCAAGCAATTATTTTCTTTTGGAAGATCCTCTGTAAATACAATTTTTATAGCTAATGTTGTGAGCTTATCTGTTCATTGGACTTTCTAACATCACCTGCTGCATCATAAATACTGACCAACCAATGCTTTTTATAAATGTTATTTGGGAGAAGAAAGGAAAATGGAAGCCCATACAACAGTGGGTTAGTAACTGAGGTTGAAACCAAGTGAAGGGCAAGCACTCAAGTTGACCAGTAATGGGGTTAGGCAGCGCAAATGCTCTCCAATAAACTACAGAATTTGAATTCTCCAAACTGAGTCACCACTTTCACCAACTGCCTTATTTAGCAGATCACTGTAACAGTGGTTTAAACACTAGCAGTTTCTGGCACTGTTTATTTATATACTGGCACTGCCACTAATCAGTTGCACAAATAATAACCACAGTGGAAACCTTGTTTAGTTTGGGTTAATTGTTGTACACCTAATGATCTCCAGTTGACAGTAATATTGAAGCTGGGTTATATAAACTTGAAATATCAACATTAAATAAATTTGGTGTGCTCATTTCAAGGAGTAGTGTTTTCTTACAGTTTGAGATTGTAGAAGCATGTTACACTTCTCTAGATCCCAATGCCAGTTCAATGTCCAACAACTTCAAAGCAGTAGTCTGAAGTTTCAGTATGAAATCATTCAACTTTGTAATGACTTCAAACCTAAATATACAGCACTGTTTAAAAGTGCAGTAAGAACTCTATAGTATGCCTATAAAATAAGGGTATAGTTAAGCTAAACCAATATTGATCCTAAAATTCCCAACTTGCTGAACTGCAGTGCTGATGGGAGTATTCCAAAAATTTTGTCACAGAATGCATTGCACTTCCAAGTCCAATTTTCTACAAAAATTCAACTTTTAATAGTACTGCTTTTTTGCATGTTGGTGTTTAGGTTACTAGAGACTGTCTATTTTTGCTTTATGTTAATTGACTTGAAGTTCAATATGGGATTTGTATACCACAGAGTGAAATCTGTAACCTACACTATTAAAGCAAAGCCAGCTATTTTCAGCTAATAAACTAGTTGTGATCCAATAAACAGTTAACAGTACCTCATACTTTCAGCCATATTTTCACAGGATGAAGAGCATAAGCACCCCTAAGTACGTATGTGGAAGATTTCCAGATTATACTAAGAGTGCAACTATAACAGTTTGCTTACAAAGACAGTATTTCAGATTTCTATGTAATTTCCTTCCCTTTTTTCCTTCAAAGAGCTAGGTGCAACCTTTTTGCTATTCAAAGTCACTTCCAAAGTTGTTGTTATTACCTCTAGGATGTTACTTATGTTACATGGATCACCTTGTGTTTCTGACTAAATACATCTATGGTGTATTAGGAATAAGAATTCAGAAGCACTACCACATGGCTTCATTAAAATCTAGTGCTGTCCTAGTATATAATTTCATTCAGTTATTTCTCCTGTGCAGTGAATGCTCTTCGAAACGTCAGTCTGAAGTGCCTTTTACAACAGTGAAAGTCAGCCTGTTTTAACTAGTGGTTGTAAATCAACGTTGATAAACTTATTCCTATTACTGCTGCAGTTGTATTAAATATTAAAAACAAAACAAAACACCCCCCTGAAGTGACAGTAGCAAATTTAAATACATAATTACTTTTAGTAAACTAGAAAAATTTCTCTCATTTGTTCAAAGAAAAATTCCAGTCCACAAAGAAAATAAAATTCTAAAAATTGATTCCACAAACACTCACTTATCGCTTGATATGCTGCAGTCTATAACTGTTCTTTTGCTAGTGTTGACTATTAAGAAAGGCAGCTGTATTGTTGAGTTCAAAGCTGGAGGGCCTTGATTTTGTTGTTCATTTTGCTGATTTCTTTGTACCAAGTTTTTGAATGCTATTTGCTGAAGAAAGAAAGAAAGAAAAAACGATCACTGGCCATGAAAGAGAAGACATCAGTGTTTCCAGGAAGTGTAACTTCCTAGCTCTTATTTACCAACTCTCAATACTTCCAGTAATTTTCTGCCAAAAAGTAAGCGGCCTGACTTCCTCTTTGCACTAGTGAAGCTCACCAGGAACAGAAGTTAAACACAAATTTTTCGCACATATCCTAATGGCTATGCCCCCCTCACAATCCCTGGAGCAGAAACAAGAAAGGAACAATAAAGCTTGGGGGAGAATGGTTCCCCATTTCTTTTGAAAAGGCACTGGAGTCAGAGGTCTTCTCTGTTATTTTACATGCATAATTACCTCAAACTGGGAGCTAGTTACACTGAAGCAAAAGTTAACAGAAATTACAGCATTCCCCCCCTTCCCATGATCCATATTCTCTTCCCCTTCTCATCCATCACCCCCTTTTCTCTCTCAAAGAGTGAGTGTTGAAATTCTCCTCTGAATGTTTTTAAACAGGTGCCATTCGTGACACCACTTGCTCTCTCCTGAATTCTTGTATCTGACTGCATATGTATGAAAATGTGTGGGTTTAGGAAATGTTATTTGAGGGATTGGAAGTCTGTACGTACCCACTTTGAGGCACTACTTATTCCACTCAAGGTGAAGATGGGTAGACAGAATCCCAAAGGACTGATAAACCATTTGACAATGAACATAATCAAGGAAATAATGACAGTTGTAGATAGTAAGGGAGTGCAACTCTGTCATTTCCAGACTAATAGTTAAGAAGGCCTGAGTTGCCTTATTTTCACCGGGTTAATTTCATGTTACTCTTAGAGAAGCTGCTAATTTATTAGGTTAGATAGATAGAATCAGAATTGTGCCCTAAGTAGAGAAACAGGTTTTGGTGATAAGAAAAGGAGAAGCATCAGATATTTAAAAGTTTCTGTGCATATCTAATTACATGAAAATTGTATCACTATAGTTAGACCACAAAAAAAATACAGCCTTATTGTCTGTAACCTCATAAAAAAGTTTGATTACATTTAAATTACTGAAAGTCTGCACAGACCAAACCACTTAAGAATGCTGATAAATGTATTTTATAAAATGTTCCTTTATAAGCAAAGACGGGTTTGAAATGTACTTCTGCAATCAAAGCCAGAACTCAAGTCATCTCAAAGGTGCACCTCGGAATGTAAAAGAGCTGGATTTGCCAGCCTTCCATTGGTTAGGATCCAGAAATGTCTATCTCCCCCAAAACAACTCTGTACATATTTACACAAGTCCAGTTGTAAATATCATAGCTTAGAATCAGAGAAATTTTCCAGTAAGAACTACTCAGAGAAGGTAACGCTGGGGGGGGCTTGGAGTCAGCCAAGGGGACTTGTGAGTTGTTTCCATTCCCACTAATGTTGACAAGCTTCAGCAGAACACTTACAAAAGCTTGTGGCATGCAGATGCAGCACGCTGTTTTACAATAGGTAAAAATGAACCAGAAAGTGAGGGTAAGAGGTCCCCCTACTAGAATCCAGAAAGGTCACAAGTGTGAAGCTTTTCTCCCTAGTATATCATAGCTGCTAAATAAATCCAGCAATTTGATAATTGCTAAAATCGGATAATTTCATTTATAGAAAAAATAATTAAATATACCTGCAGCAGCAGTTCTTGTAGTTGGGCTCGCTTCTGTTTTATCCTTTCAATCCGCTTCTGTTTTTCTATCTTAAAATACAAATGTAAATGCATCAAGATAATTACTTTGTTATCTTGTCTGTTCCATTTTGCCAAACTAAACAGGCTTTAGAGCTATACCAGTGTGCTAGCACCATTACAAAAATCCATACTTTCTTTGTAAATGGTGGAGAATTCCATGGCATGGTAAGTAAATTTTGCACAAGTCTTTTCAGCCCTACCTGTTTGCCATGTATTTTCTTCTTTTTCAGACTTATCGCATTGTCACATGAGTTTCTCCATAAAACAGGTCTGACAAACTGTAATTTCTTTCTTTGTCAACAATTTTAACTTCAGTAAAGAATCAATTATTACAAGAGACCGTATTATTTCCCCACCCATTCCTCCTCTTCTGTACTATGCACTGAGCACCGATGAGCACCAAACTAAACGTTTGCTTGAGAGGGTGCTTTGGGTTTGTTTTTTTTTTCTTCCCCTCCTGCCTTCCACTTTTTTGGAATTGTGCATGTCCCTTCCACTGTTCTAGCTGCAAGCTGCTAGACATAAATGTGTGGAGACTGGGCTCAGGATCATCACCTGCATCTTTCCAGTGATCTCCACTTTTTGTTTGGACCGCTCATTTGAGACTTGATTAAACTAACAAGATTTCAGCAACAAAAAGGGGGTAGAGGTAACCTTTTCTACGTGAGCACAGAATCCATTTCTTGCAACAGTTTTCTTAATGCCAGTTAATGGGGCAAAGCTATCCTCAACCTAAGTATGCAGTGTTTGGGACAGCGATAGTACTGGATGCCTACTGACACTGCAGATACAACCAACAGTATTTTAAATAGTGTTCTGGGGGAACACTAAAGAATTGGACAGCAGTCATCATGTTTAAAAGGTATTTTTCCTCATCATCCTGTTGGTGCCAGCACTGTATTACTGCTCCCCAAAATACTAAAACCTTAAATTACCTTTTCATTCAACCACTGAAACTAAATAATGCAGTCTTTTAAAACTTAGCTGCACTAAACCCCCCTATTTTATTTACAGTGTTGCTTTGTGGTGGTTCCCCCCACACAGACTTTAATGTTTTAAATGCTTCCTTCAGAGCACAGTAGATTACTTTCTTTTCTGGGACAAATATGTAACTCTTAAAACCAATAAACTATACAGATAGTATTTAGACACGGTTTCTATATAACAAGCTTTTTTTGTACTGCTTTCTCATTTTTGTACTGGTAATCTTATTATGGAATTACACTGTAAGAAGAGTTGGCTGTTTATACAGCTTTAAAAGCAAAATTAATTCTGATTTTCACACCGTGAAAATGCAGCTTTATTTTCTGTTCTTTTCTATTATGTCACAGGAAGCAACATTTTAAGAAAATATGCCTGGCTTCCATTTTGTGCATATGTAATTAGAGCCTGAAACAGCAAATAGCATACAATCATTGTAGGTGACACAATGAAATTCAAGTTCCGCATTTGTAACAATAACCTATGCTGAAGATAACGCATTCAGGTGAATGCATGTAAAATGTAGATTTATCCATGATTAAAAAAAAAAAAAAAAAAAAAGAGAATCCTGGAGTATAATGATTGAGCATATGCATACTCCTTGGGGGGATGTATTTTCCAAGTTGCTGTAATGGACAAGGATAGTAAAAGCTTTTTTCCTACCACATCTAGAAAGACAACTGATGTAAATGAACCCGCACAAAATAAATTGTTCTGTACTAGAGAGGGACCCCACCTGGCTTTTAAGATATTTAGTGTCACAAGTATCACAAATACAATACATATTAAGGTGTATTTACAGATAGTTATTACAGCACTCTCTAGTAAGTACAGTAACTTGTGCTTTTTATTTATAGAGCATTTGGCCTGACGGACAAGCAACATTTGTGCATGTAAGTTCTGGCATCCCTGCAAAAACACAGTAACTCCTAGCCTGCTGGAAAAATAATGGAAAAAACCAAGACATAAAACTTCTTTTTTTTCCCTGCCAGTTCATAGCTAGTATTTGACATCCTAGCAAGAATTATTTTTCAATTTAATTTCCTTTGAATGGCATTTCCAAATACAGACATTAATAGAAAATTCATCTCCTTTCAATTGTATACCATTTTGTAAGCATAACTGCACTATAAATTCTTTTGACTTTCTTCTGGTTAACTCAGGCTACTACAGACTTTGATCTTAAAAGTAATCCCTGATTTAATCAATGTCCATTTTTGTAAGGTAAACAAGTTTGGGTTTTTTAAACTTCATGTCATGTATACTAAATAAAACTGAACTAAGCGTACATAAATGTGTCCTTTCAGTCTTCAAGTATCAAAAGTTCTATTTTCATAGTGGGCAAGAATCAAACCCAGTCTGGTTCAAATTGAGAAAAAAACCCCTCTTCTAAAGTAGAGCAGATCTGTTATCACAACCTGTGAACTATATAGAATTTCCCATCTACCTCACCTTACCTCTAGATTCTGACATTCCTGAGCTGAGTTTGTAGGAAGGCCAATCCATCTGATTTCCTTCTTCTCCTTTGAAATTATGTTCATTGCCATCAGGACATTAAGGGCATCGTAAACTCTCCGTCTAATATTTTTCTGATCATAAGCCTGCTAAGAAAACAATGCAGCATTAATTACAAGAATTCAAAAAGGAGAAAAAGATTGAACACATCCTTCATAGATATGTAGAAAATAAAAAGGCAAAATGGCAGTTTAAGTCAGAGTGGTATTAAAAGATGATGCCTTCATCTGTGCTACTCCCTGGATACCACATGAGCATGTTTGTTTGCACATGGAAGCTTCAGGCCTGCTTGAAGCCTCTGTGCAGCAGATTCCAATCACGGCAAGTCTGTTACAGTTGAAAAGCCTGGCAAGACCACATACGGTGTGTACAAGAGTAGCCTTTTTTTAAAGAGAATTCTTCTGGCAGACTTCTCTATTTTGTTTATAATTTAGTGTGAGTTCAATTCTTCATTTTAATTCTATATTTTTAATTTTCAGAGGTTAATTCTTTATATTTGGGAAGTAGTTAAGTGAAGGAAAGTATGGAGTGTGGCAGGACAGTCCAGGGACAGAATTCCATGATAAACCAGACAATTTTGTAATGGTATAACAAATTTCAACACATATTTGCTTACCGAATCTGTAGCTAGGTGGCTGTTAGAATTTGTGAATTCTGATACCAGCTCATCAGCAACTTCATTGTATGAAGTTGTTCCTTTACGTTGAACTTTTTCACATACTTTCATTGAAAAATGCCTCAGACCCTTCCCATTTTTATCTCCTTTTTTGCTTCTCTTACTGGAAGGAGAAAAGTAATTAATACATTGAATGGTAACAAGCTACTTTGCTACACAGCAAAAGGTCTACCTTTTGCAACAGGAATCAGAACTCTTGACATTATGTACTACCTAAAAGAAAAATAAAACTGTTCAGCTTTTTTGAATCAGATTCTCGCTTCTTACAAGTTGGCAAAAAAAGTACACTGGAGCCCTTTCCCCTTTCCCAGTGATTTCTACACTGATAGTATTTGAACACATGCTACTGGGCAGATGCTTAAAAAACTGGATTTGTAATTCATCTCCAGATAGTTTTACAAAAGCAACCAAAAAAGGGGGAAAACCTCACGGGGTGTTTATGTGCCTGGAAGCCAGATTTACAGGAACCCTCGTGTTTGTGCTTAAAATAGAAAGGCTCAGACATCCCTATTTACAATACAGCAGAAGATACCTTAATTCTCCTAATGACCAAAGTTTAATATCTGTGCCATCATAGTTAAGACTGAGATACAAGAATCTCTTTTGTGGAGAGTAAGTACATATTCATTAGGTTTTATGGTGCCAAATTAATAACTGGCAACTGTCAGGGTTATTTTCCATTCACTTTCTTCCTCCTGAAAAGCAAGAGCTTAGATAATGATAATGGAAAAAACAGGAGCAATTGGTTTTATCACACAAACTAGATTTGGATGCGTATTTCAATAGAAGCCTTTAAAAAGCTCAGCTGTGGTGGTGTGTTTGTTTTGTTTTTTTAATTACAGTTTTACAAGTTGGTTTGATAATATGTTTCAGGGAGATCTATTATTTTACAGAAAAAGGCCTAGTTCTGTCAAGAGTAACAAGCTAAGGAAAACATTAAAAGAATGCTTTTCAAAATTTTGCATTTAAGAAATTTTGCATTTAAGAAATTTTGTATTTAAGAAAACAGAACACTGGAAAGAAGGACAGAAGTAAAGGAAGAATGGAAAGGAATACCAGAATATTTAAAAAAACCCAACACTCCTAATCCCTACGCAGTTATTCAATGTGAGAAACCCCCAGTAGGTAAACAAATAACACCACCCTGAATGCATTCAAAGAAGTTTTGGAAGCAAAGGAAAAGATCATCTGTTTACAAGTATTTGTCACACTGAAAACTAGAACAGTCCTGTTTCTGAAGATGTGTTGTGTTTGTTTTTCACAACTCCCAGTATCATCTGTAACAGCAAATGTATTTATCAGGAAGTGATAAAGCAAGGAGTAATGCGTTAGAACTAACTATGAGGAACAAATAACACACAGCATGGAGGAGTGAAACCTGCTTTCATATGGAGGAGTGAAAACTGCTTAAAGTGGGAACTGGACACCCATCCCTCTGAAGGGCAGATCTGAAGAAGTAAACCAGGTATGACTGTATACATAAAATACATGTTCAGTAATACTCACCTTTCTGAAAAATCTGATTCTATGAATTCTCGAGTCCGCTTTCTGTCCCTAAGAAAAGACAATTCAAACTTAGATGAAAATAACATTATACACTTAGACCAACAAAATCAACGTATTTGTGGCCTAGCTGGGTACTGATGTTTGCTGTTACCTGTATACTGCAAGGGGAAAATGGCACACACACAGCTTGACAGAATTTGAGAGAAGGTGGCTAGGACTTTGGGCATGGTCTGAGCTCAGTGCCAGGCAAGTTCTGTTCCCAATTTTACCACACTTTGCCCATATGATTTTAGGGAATTCACTTCATTTGGAACTATAGGAAGTACTGACATGAGCTACATAACCAAATCCCATCAAAAAGGAGAAGCTGGGCTCCTTTGAACCTTCCTATTTAAAATTCCTCCACGTGGAAGAAAAATGCCTTTAAACAGCACATCCTATATTTTCAGGACATTGATTGTTTTGGTACCTTTAAACAAAAAACAAGGTAAAACACTAAACATGTTCACGTTAGAGCTGATGCATACAGAGCTGAAGAGAGATACTCTGAAGAAGTAGCTGACATGATTGGCAACTGCTACTCCTATGCAAAATTCATTGCCGGTTTCCTTATCATACTGTTTATTAGCTACAGCAAGCGGACTGCAGAAGTTGTATTCCAAACTTGTCTTTTATTCTTGCAGCTGATACAATGCACATTGCTCAAGAACTATTGGTAAATTACTTCACATTGTTAACCCTGCAGGTTCAAAACCAGGTCTCACAGCACATACTTAGGCAGCTAGAAACCTGACAGCATTATGAAGGGAGCTGAACAAAAATGATGGACTTGAAGGTATGTGCCGTGAAAGCCTGTGTGTATTTGGTTGTGCGATCCAGAACCCATCAGCAGACGTCTTTCTCGGCAACAACAGCGGGATTTTTGTCTTTGGCAATCCCTGTCCATGGTGCTTAACCGCTCACACTGAGCAACTGGGGGTCCGAGTGCAGCGGAGCTGGGGCAGGGGGCTGGAACGGCAGGGAATGAAGAGCTGTCCCCTGATCTGTAAGCCAGGCTGCCAGAGGCTGTATGGAGCCCTGAGAATGAATACGCTCTTGTCTCATTTGATTTTGGAAACAATTTGAAACCTGTGAAGAGGAGTAAACAACGGGTAAAGCAAGGAGTCTGGACTTGCAATCCTCTGGAACCATCTTCAGCAAGGGCTCACCGCTTAGGTTCCACAATACCACAGACCCTTCCTCACCTCTGTTGTATGGACTTCTGCAGGGATCAGTATTGATTGGTCAGTCTGGCGAACATCTTGCTCCTTTTTATCGGTGAAACAATAGTTGGGCTCAGTAGAAATACTGTGTCTAGATTTTGACTGTATACAAACAGAAGGATGGTGCTTCTCTCTGGGAATCTCCATCAATTGCGTTTGGATGAAGCTTAAGAAAGCTAATGGGCATTGATTCTTCGGTTTAGCAAGCTGTGAACAGACACTATAGCTTTTCCCTCCTCTGGGTACTGAAAGAACTTCAGCCTGGCCTCCACATTTCACAAAATTTGCAGAAACAAAGTAATCTTTGACAACTCCTTTTTCAAATCAGAACTAAGTGGATTCAAAAGGTATTTTGAGGAGATAAACAGATACTCAGAAAAAAAATCAAGCTTAAAAACTGCTCAGCTGGGCATGCAGTTTTTTGACTCTATGGTAAGAATATAGCGACTGGGAAGTGCAAGCCTCTGACAGTCCTTGCTTACAGCATAGAAAGAAGAAAGTCAAGGCACAAACAAACACTATACTGTCATTTCTGCCATGTCCTAGATGCTCCATTTTCCCACCTCTAAAGCTGGAAAGGTACTACTGACTTCCACCACCTGTTTAGAAAAAATTAACCCAGATACAGAAAAAAATTACTTTTTAATTTTCAGAGGCAAAGCACTACATCTGTCTTGAGACAGATAAATTCAGCAGTATGGGGATTAAAAAAAAAAATTAAAAAAAAATAAAATCATGAAATACTGTAAAGACCAGATTTCCTTAGAAGAGATGAAGATAGTCATGTTACTTTGGAGTACCTCAGAACCCCAAGAAAACCTGTTTCTACTGTAAAATAGTAATAAAAATACAACATTGATTACATTCCAAATTTTTCATTAAGAGCTTTATTCTTAAATGCCTCTTGGAAGTGTTTTTGACAGTCTCTCCTCCTGTTGGCACCTGCTGATATGCTCAACAGCAAAGCTACTTGGATATCCCATGAACTTACGAAAAAAATAAAGGCTTCTTTTAACAGGACTCACAAATTTGTGACTTTCCATTTTCACAAAGAAACAGACAGTGAAGTGACTGGTGCTTGTAATTCTGCATTCACATGCTCCAGACATCGAAAGTGCATAATAGGCTAAAGAGCATACTCCTTTTAGTTGTGCAAGAACTAGAAGCCATAAGCCAACATACAGAAACATCAGTATAAATAAAGGAAAACATCAGCACAGATCCTCAAACATCTTTAAATAAAACAAAAATCTTACCCCGGGACCCAGCCAGAAGCTTCTGTTATGTGTGTCTGGGTGACCATTGTTGGAGCTGGGTTATATGGACTCCCAATCAGAACACTCCCTGAATTGGTCAGTCTTTGTGATGTGCTTATGATCTATGAAAATTAGAAATAAACCCCACAGATCTCTTAAGAAAACAGAGGTTACCACAGCCCAAAATCCACACTAAGCATGGTACTAAGGAAAAAAAAAAAATTCTGTACCAGATGCAAGCTGCAGTCAAAATATACAGAACAGATGTCATCAGAAGACCTTCATACATGAAAGTAATTACAATGCTGCTAAGTTTTCTACTAATTGTACCATATTACTGTATAATTCATATGGACAAGATCTAGACAAATAATTACTAGGTATGGCAGATAGACCTGTACCTATATACAACTAGTTGTTTCTCTGAGAGTATGTCTAGGCAATTTCTTGATCACTGTAATCAATAAAGCCTCCTTTCCAATGGATTTGTCTCTTGCAATCATCTGTCTTTGCTACCAAAGACAATCTGAGCTGCAGGCAAAGTATTCCCTGCAGTTTCTAGCATTCACAAGATCTCAAGACATTCTAGCAAGCTAATAATACAACATTGTACCTATGGTATTAAATGTAAAGTCTGTACAGTATAGATAGAATTTAAATTTGTTCAAACATGGTGAAATTGTATGTACAACAGTTGTTAACACTAAGACACTTGGTCTCAACTTTGAAATCATATCTAAGTTCATTCTTTAAAGTAGGTCATCAGAAGAATTCAGATTGTATTTAAAAACAAAACTGTTAATTAGTCTTTAAAATAAAACACATTTTAAATTATTTTGATTCCAGTACGGTAAGATTCATACCAAAGCTTCATGGACAATGCTTTTTACTCATATATCTTATTTTGCTTTTTTAAACTGTATTTTACTTTACTCCATTTGTTGGTGACATTTTGAGTATCTACTGTACTAAACTTTGTAGTTTTGCTTTACTACTTAACGTACCCAACACCCATGTTCAGTACATGGCAGATACTTTGTTTGGTATCCATCAATATTGTTTAAACAAGTAGGAAAAAACAGTATCTGAAGAATTTCCCATTTCCTTAGCTCACTGAGCATTACTTCACGTCCCTCTTGACACCACGCTGTGATTGCATGTATGTATTTTTTATCTCAAAGACATAAATTTATTTATTTTTGCGAGTGGATAGCTTGACAGAAACAAGTGAAAACAGAAATTTAGGAAAACCAAAACACAGGTACAAGTTAGGTATTTACTGGTTGATACTGGAGAACAAAAGATCCCTGGCTGGCTGCTTTACACACTGCATGCAGGCACAGGAAAGGTTATCAACTTACTGCTACATTGGCTTGAAGTCAGAAACATTTTGTGATAGAATGATTAATTTTTAAAAGCTTAAGTTCAGCACTGGTGAGAATCAGTAATGCATTATTTCAATTAAACATGAATCCAATCCAGTAACTTTTTATACCAATTTCTTGCAACACTATAAATAACATTTATTTGCAGTAAGCATATGGTTCTGCCAGCATATGGCAGATGCATGCCATAGAGAAAAGATTTTAAATATTTTGCATACTGAAATGCGTTTCACCACATTCCACCCTCTCTGAGGTTTGCTCTATTGATGTCTTGTAAATCACAGACTAAATGTGTCATAAAGAGTATTTTATGTTCGATCGCCTCATAATTTTCCTGTGACAGCCTCATAATAAACTGAGGGGGCAAAATCACTTTCAGGTGTTTCCAAGACCGACCTGTCCAGTATCTTTCTATCCCTTGGTGCCATCTTGTGGAGACAGACACCAGCAGCACACTCTCCCAAGAGCCCCTTCCCCCACGGCAGCCACACCGTGTTTGATGGGCACTTAGAGGCAGTAGTTGCACAAGCACCAAAAATCCACCTGTCTACAGCTTACTGTTAAAGCTGTAAGTTCTTGGATGCAGGGACACAGATGTCATGGGTATACAAATCAGTGTTGTTTCAGTGTCACTTTTAAATTTACTATTGAATGTTTGCTTTCACAGAAAATGCTACACTGTATTTTCAGAGTACTAATTCCATCTTAACAGCAAACATACTTCCAGTGTGCCTGAAGTAATCACATAAATTCAGATACCAGATAGCATAAAACAGAAAAAGAGAACCTCACCCTAATTTAGCAAATAGACCATCTGTAGGACGTTAAATCCCTGTAATTAAACACTAGCATTTTATCAATAATACTTAATGCTGTTAAACTTACACCTACAGACTAAATCTAAAGAAACTGTAACACACACCCGTACACAAGAATCCAGCCTGCAAATTGTGCTGATTTTACCATATGCACAGCCGTAGCCCAAGGGATTCAGACCAACAGTCACCATTCAGCCAACAGCCCACTCCCCTGATCCTGGGGGCAGTGTGCTGGTTTGAAGGACCTGGAGCAGCCCCAAGAGCTGTAACCTACAGCGGTTAAATAAAACTAAAAATCCCTCGTGGCAGCAGGATGTTGCTAACACAGGTGAGATGCCAAAGGAGTGCTAACATTCCCACTGTTAAGAACTTGTGAACATTCTCTTTTGAACGGTCTGGCACACGACACAGCCGAACACTGGATGTCTTCGGAGGCCTGTGTTAATGGCTATTTAATAAGAAAATGTTTTCTTAATACAGATCTATCCTTGCAAAGCAGCAGAATAAAATAATTTTAAAAATTAAATAATTTAAAAATAAGAATAAAAATAAATGAAATAAAATGTGTGTCTCACACCACGCAGTAGCTTTTGCAACTTCTACCTGCTATAGAACCTAAACTATAACTGGGGTTCATTTAAACCAAAAGCAGGGCCTTGAGCAGTCACTCATAAGAGTAGGAGCTGCATTAACTGACTGCTCTCCCCTGTTCTTGGTTATTATTTATTGCACTCACAAAATACATCTTTTGTAGTAGAACTATTCCAGTGAAACGCTACAGGGCACATGCTCCAGCAATACTTGCCATCAGTACCAATGCACTGAGGAACACTGTCCTCTGGTGGGCAGCATGTGGCTAGTACTTCAGATGGAGAGTTCTGCAGTGGGGAATGCAGTTGGCGGCGGGGGGGCTGGCTGTAATGCTTCTGCCCATCTGTCCAGCTGGGCTAACAGCCATTGAAGAACAGTAATAACTGCTGATGTGAAAAAGACCCAACACAATTATCTATAAAACACATCAAATGGTTCTTGTACTCAGGCTAAGTGCTTGGCAAGTAGGCATCAGGTTACTAGAAACAGTTCACTGTATTGCCTATTTAGTTCTCTGGCCACCAGAAACCCAAAAATTTTTCTCAAAACCAGATCCAGAATCCCTGAAACAGCCATATATGTTCATATACAGTTATTATTGACAGGAAAAGACAGTTTTAAGAAGAGCAGTTTTTAACAAGTTAAAACTCTAGCGACACATCCAAGACATTTATTCTGGCAATGCTGGAGATTTACTGGTGAGAACACGACTCAAAATATTCAAAGACTGTCAATAATGTTCTTAATGAGATTTTTTTCTTAATATACTTTTGAGTAATAGTTAAAATGTCAACTGGTAAAGTTGTTTCAATTTCCATTCAGTGCCAGGAAGATAGGTATCCCCTAAGGTCACATACAGGATCGTTGTTGGGAGTGGCAATTCTGACATGACAAGCTTGCCATACCCACACGTCATCACGTTTCCATCTAGGTGGGGCACTTGAGCAGCCTTTGCAGCCAAGGCAGGAAGCTGCAAGTTCCTAACACTGTTCACATCTTTGTTTTTCGTGTTTCCTTATTACATCAACAGGAAGTCACACAGCTAGTTACACAAGTTAGCATTACCGGAGTTGCAAAACTTACCATTTGGGGTCCAACATTCACATTGATTGGTCCTAAGGTTTTTGGCAAAATCTTAGTTGGGGAGTTGGTGCTGGAAACTGGTAATGTGATTATTGAAATATTACCTAAAAAGAGCAGTAAAAAGAGTTTTAAATGACTTCCTTAGTAACCTATGAATAACACTGGCAAATTCTCACATCGTTTTAACACATTGGAATTGGGTTAGCTTTTTTGTTTTGTACACTGCAAATACACCCTCATGTAACAGCCTCCAGACCTTTTAGCAGATCTCACAAGGACACCTCACAAAACTACACCTTCACTATTTTACCTTTATAATTACATGTTAGTATTTTATTTCCAGAAATAATTTCTTCTTGCCTAAGACAAAGAGCACACAGCCTGCCATACCTCAGCATTAAAAGTTAAAATTAATGAATATACTTCTAGAAAGAAGTCACCATACAAATCCTATTTATAATCATAAGCATGCATAGAAAATACGTATCCATATCTTCATAGCCTTAACCATTCCTCATCTGACTACACTAAACTATTCTATAAACATCCATGAAGTAAGCCTATCACAGCCTATCACTGTACAGATATGGAGTAAATGACAGCTTTACAACTTACCTGAAGTAACAGAACAGGGAGCTGGACATCAAGGTAAAGCCAACCATGTCATCTCTAACTCAGCATGTTCTCATCCCAAGATGTTTATCATCTTTGTGATCCTGGACTGCTTACGGCTCTAACTCATCCTGTTCTCACACAGAGAAGCGCAGCTCTATGCTGAGAACCTCAAAAAATGCTGCTGCTCCTCCTCTATTCCAAATTGTATCATGTAATCTTGATTATTCAGACTTAATGTCTTAATCAAAACTGTCATGCAGCACTACCACTAGCCCGTGACTGTTCAAACTGTTGTACACAAGCTATTCAAAGCAGTGAGCACACTTATCGATGGACATTGTGGCAGCAGCAGCTCCTGTCTCTGCAACGGTTTCAAAGCAAGAGAGCTCAGAATCAATCAAATACCTTCCCCCCATTCTTATGCACAGCCTTATTCAAAATGGGGAATGACAGTGGTGGGTCTGGAGGCAGAATCAAATATGAGGAAGAGCTGCCAGTGCCTCGTAATCCAGAGTTAGCTTGGGTCTACCTGAGGTCATGAGCTGTAAGGACAAGGATTGGCTCTTGAAGAGCTACTTATGCTCTCTGGCACTAGCAGACAGAAACTGAAGGCATCTGAGGTGACAGGTTCCTTCAGAACAGCGCAGACACCAGCCCTCACCACTGCCCTGCCCTGCCCTGCCCTCCTTCCACAGGAGCTGGCCAACATTCAGCTTCACCCAGATGGTCCCAAGCTGACTCAGTGGTGTTTGACATCTCTGCTCCCTGGTCTTTTCTCATAATCTGTTCTCCTCCACTGGCCACTTTTCTCTTCTCACTTGGTCCTGAACCATAGTCTGTCTTTGGTTGTTTTTTAGTACACCCATGTTCTGACATGAGGTAACTGGAAAAAATCATAATTCAACAGTGTAGCTTCTCTGTAATAGAAAGCAGAAGCAACACAGTTGAGAGAAAAAGAATACTTAAAAAAGGATCTTCTGTAGCTACAGCACAGAAGTAGAAAAGATGTAAACATACACAAAGTCTCACCTTTATAAAAAATGAACAGAGATATGAGAAGTATTTACAATTTGAGACAAGCATGTTCTAATGTTCTGTGTAAATTCCTTTGGCATCTGGAGTAACACTACTACTGAGTATTAATTTTCCAAAAGGCAGATCTGTATCTGAGATGCTCAAAAGAAGCTTGCTTCTTTATTCGATAAATTGAGTAACTTATTCAGTCACCTAACTCACCTAGGAAAAAAAACTTATAAAAACCACACTCTTGCAAACACCCCCCACTGTAAATCCTTGCTCTGTTATGAATTGCCTTTCGTGAGGCAGTGCCAGAGTGCACAAGGCAACAGTAATTCATGATTTACACACATCGTGTTCCCATTTTGAGCTCAAAATAGTTCTTTAAACTGGCCAGTTACTTGTCAATTTTACTTTTGCTACAGGACTTTGCCTAGGATTTGCTAAGCACACTCTCATCAAAACCCAGTCTCCCCTCTCATTGTAGGCTGTTGTCATCAGTGACGTGCCTGTCACTTCCCAGTACTGCTGTAGAAATTTTGCTCTTTTCTGCTGCAGCTGAAACTTTTGACTCCTTTTTCTCCAAGATCAGCTCTCATGCTATTTCTCCTTGTTCCTTTTCTTAGAAGGGAAAAGAAATAAATTACTTTGTCCTGTGCTGGCAACGTAAGGTCACCTGGCAAAGTGCAGTAAAATTCTGAGATGCCAGCATTTGGCTTACAGTGCTCTTCCCATAGGGCTACATCACAGAGTCGTCTCCAGTGATGCTTCCTGGCCTGCAAGAGGCACTGTAACGTCACATTTCACAATGTAGGATTGAGACGTGTCAGACTTACTGTACCATACAAACTGCAGCTTAAAAATACAATACCCATGGCCAAAGCCACACACAAGCACCAGATTTACTGTAGCAGCCCTAGAAAAAACACTAAGAGCTACTGCACCACGCCTTCATTTACAAGGCTACCTAGATAAATTATACAGTCACCAATTAGGGCAACTTTGGTAAATATGAGGGTTGTTCAAATTACTTGACCTTCATTTTAAAAAGACAGTTGCTTACATGACGTATGTTTAAAAGTCTTTTTGGCTAGAGTTACCGTCAGTAAGAAAGATCTTCCTCTTCTAATCCCTACATAAATCCCCTATTTGGCAGCAGCAGTGTCAAAATGATCTTAAAAGTTGATCAAGTTTTCAAAGAAATGTTTCCCTGCCCTTGCCCTTCCTTTGAAATTTCTTTATGGGTAAATACAAATATGTAAATGTGTAGACTTTTAAACACAGATAGTATGGAAAGGGACCAATTTCTTTTGATGAGTGAGGTCTCTCTCATCCACCATCAACAGAAGAAAGGAGCAAACAAATTTTTCACAATAAAAGGTCATTCTATGTGTTTGTCAGCAGTTGAAAAAATGGTAAACAAAAAGTTTTATCACTTAGGAATAAGATATTCCCTCCCTCCCTCCTGTTTTCTTTTTTTCAAAAACTGTCATAGTCCAGATACTCATGTGACCTCAACTGCTCCAAATACTTAATGGTGGAAACACCACCTTCCCATCTCTCTTCACAGCAAACATGATAGTTGGTGCAGTTAGTTGCTGCAAAAAGTTAATGTGTTTCCAAATAGATCACATCAGCACCCCAACCTGAAGAGACAGATTTTGCAGTCAGTATCACCAGCATCACTACTCTTCTCTAAACAAAGAGAAATCCAACTGCCAAGAACCTCCCATCCTGCCTGTGGCCCTCACGCAGCAGCAGCCCAGGTCCGTGGGACACAGCTGCCACTGAAAGACCTGGAGCTGGCCAGGACCGGTCCCCAGTGCAATAAAAGCATGATCACAAACTGGAAACTGCCGACACAAGTACAACCAGCTCAGAAAGCAGGCACTTACTTGCTAAGATGACTAGCTGTATTTTACACCAAATTTTCAAGGTTAGTGAACCTCTGTTTGCTGAAGTGCTGGTAATTTCTAGAGTTTTGAAGGCAAGGTAGTACTACAAAACAGCAAGCATCAACAGGGACAATCTCTTCAAGTCTTATTTAAAAAACAGCATAGAAAAAGCAGGAGAAAGTAGAAGTCACACTGTAGACGATCTAAAAAATATTCAACAGACTTCTAAAAAATAGTCAACAGATTTCTGTATTCAACCTAAAGCAGAAATATCACCAAACTAATTATATATACTTTATCACGTAGCAACTGTAAAGGCTTTAAACATGATCAAATTCCAAATAAATGCCAAGTCTTAATAACGCCCATCATTTGGGGACAAAAAGATTACACTGATTTATGTTCCACTGAAAAACAGTAGTGTGTACAGTGATAAGCTGAACACAATGAGACCCATCAGCCTCCTAGTCACGGTACTCTTACTGCATGGATGAAAAAGGTCAGCAGCGATGGATCAAACTAGAATGATTTGTATAATAATACTCAATTCTTATATAATGTTTCTCGGCAGTACTTTCAAAGCACAAAGGACGTCAGTGTCATTATTCCCATTTTACCTATGGAAAACCGAGCACATGGGAGAGAAACCCACTTAAAACTCTCATAGGGAGGCTTTAACTGCAATATATATAAAACCACCACAAACTGAGAATGCTCGTCACTGATGCAAATTCAAAATAAAAATCTGTCAGTGGACATATGTATGTTTCTCTTAGAACAAAAGCACTTTGCTTCTACATAAATTATTCTTCCATCCCTCAGTCACCACTATTGTTGTTTCTCATGGAGAAAAACCAGCGTTGCTATTCTTTCATATTTAGAAAAACATGATCACTACATTAACTATTATTCTTCCTGGCAGTTGCAAAATATTTTTACTTGCACACACAAAGAAAAATTAAATTTAATGTTCTTCAGCTTAAAGCAGTCACAGAACAAAGTTATTCGTGCTTATGTACACGTATGCTCACAGGCACACGCTAACTAACCATCCTGCAAGACTAACTTTAAATCGTTATGTGGCATCCTAAATAGCTTAACTTCACACAAACAACACGGAGTCCTACACAAATATGAAGCTAAAGAGGTTTTAGTGATTTTTTTCCTGTATAACTAAATCTGTTAGGTCTGCAGCCTAATTGCAAAGATAATCAGAAACAATGTCAACCAGAGAACCTATAGAATCTGTCACAGCCAGTTTGAAGGAAACCATAGCTGATGGAAAGCACAGACCAACCAGCTGGGGCCACACACAATGCATACATCAACAAAAAAAGTCTTTGAATTTTTAGACAAAACACCAGGGAAGTGTTGGTAATCTGGATTTCATATTCAGAGCTCTGAAAAAAAGTCTACATTTTTTAAAGTGTATCAGTGAACAGCCATTTTATATAATACAGCCTATGGCTTGACGGTAATGGCAAACCCCCCCCAGCTCAGAGTTGTGAAATATCAGAAGTCCAGCAGGATATTTTGCAATAACATATGCGATGTGTCGTCAGGGTCCTCTATTACAG